TTCAAATCATATGCACTAAATTTTACATGAATGATCATGACGTTTACAATTTATGTTCTCTTCATTATTGGTTGTGTATCAATAATCTTTTTTTTTTTTATTAATTTTGAATGGCGAAACATACTTAAGAGAGTTTTGATTATTGAATTACCAAGGAAAAAAAAATGTTTTGATTATTGAATTATCAAAAATTCAGAACGATCAAATTGCAAACATAACAAAATCATTATTCATCTCTGCATTTTCAATATGGCTTGCAGATTCTTCAGAGAGTATTTCCTCTATGCTAAATTTTGTCGCTGTAACGATCGAAGCAGCGTCTTCTTGCTATAAACCAGCCACAAACACCGGAGTTTCCAAGTCCAAGAACAACTGGTGTTAACCGCTCTGGTTCTTAACAACTATGAGAACAAGAACTGCCTTAGAAGAATGTCTGAGACAGGGATTGGAAGAGTTTTGATGTTCTTATATTCTTCTTTATGTCTTTTGTAGGAAAATCACTTTGAGCTTCTGAAGAACAAGAAGGTTGTAGTTAGACACTGTCAAATTATATTAATTGCTTAGTAGAACATTAAAGTACCTTCGAATTCGTGTTCGATCTCTTTCAACATTATCTTTCTATTAGCAGCTGAAACAAGAATTAGTTTAAAAAGTTTCAAAATTAGCATGAAAAGAGCAAGGAAAGAAAATGGATCAAAAAGTTTACATTTTCTTCAATGTTCTTAGAATCATCAACTTTCATCTGTTCAAGACCATCGATCGCAGCTGCAAGTAGAAGATTGAAAAGATTCAAGATTTTCCTCTGAAGAAAATGAAGCTAATTAGACTGATAAATGACATGTTGAGATACCTTCAAACTAGCGTTCGATTTCTTCAAGCATACTCTTTCGCTTTTGCATCTGTAACAAGAAGGTACTAACTCTGTCTCAAGATACTGCTGTAAAGAATGTGAATCGGTCAAACGAAATTAGAAAAAGAGTTTCTTTTGTTACTTACCTTGTTCTTCATTATCATTGCTTTTAGAGAAATTACTAACTCCAAGACTCTTTGTAGCACTTAACTTGATTAGATCCTCTTGGATACGAAAGTAAACGCCTGCAAGATCCACATACCATTTACACCATCTCTGCAACCACCCAAAACAAAACAAAATGGCAGAAAATCACCAATTATTCGCGAAATCGAAACTGGGTTCCCTCCATTAGCTTACAAAATGTACTCAAAATCGTTAATTTCATCATATTATACCAAGAGATGGATCAAATCAATAAACCCTAAATACATTACACATACAAGTGGAATTATCGATGACTTAACGGGATTTGCGGCGGTGATAGTAGTGGTGGGGTTTACAGGCGGCGGTGACGGTGGCAAGCGGAGGAGGACCGGAACTGCAAGTTCCCATCCCGGAGGAGGAC